TCCTGTGAAATAGGCTAATACTGGTTAAGTTAAAGAGGAAGACAAAACATTCAGATACTTTATAATTTATTACCACTGATATGAATTTGACATAAAAAGGATAGGGCCCACCTTTATCCAACCATCTTCAAGCCACCCCTCCTCCCCCTAAAATAGCTGACACATCATAGTCTTTTCAAATGACTTTTTTTAATGGGAGGCACACACACAGTGGTTTCAGACACTGACATCAATCACCAGCCTGCATCATTAGTGTAGCCTTTAGCAATTAATGACCTAAGTATCAGTTTCATCATTTGTGTAATGGGGATTATAAGAGGTCATATTTCACAATGAGCTAAATGAAATTAGCAATGTTGGTTCATTCTAATCTTTCAATAAATGATGTATTATTATTTTGCCAAAGGGAATACCCTAATCTGGAGTAATATTATAATATAGGTACAGATATAGTTATAGTTAGATACAGGGCACCTTCCCAATTCAGAACACATACATGGAGAGGTGCTGAGGAAATTGTAAATCAGTGAATTCAGTAACAACTTTCAAAATGCTGACTCTGGAAGTGTGGAAGACTGAGATTCCCAAAGGTGATTATCTCCTAGGTACAGCTCCAGCATTCCTCTCAGTATCTTATTAGTGTTCTGAGAGAGCAGAGGTGGGGGAAAGGCTTCCTGGTCAACTGTATTCTTACCCTTTCTCATCCAAACTGGCCTATATATTGTGGAAATAAGGGAAGAATTGTCCATAAAGCAAAGCTGTGCCATCAGTCCACGGCTACCAGACAGGGAATACGTCTGTCTCTAAACAAACATGTGGGTCCCCACTGTCGTTATTACTAAGTATTTCACATCAGACTTCTCACCCCGATTATTATAATGAAAGTTCTCTGAAGATTAAAAAAATTATACTGTTTTGAATCCCCTGTAGTTACTGATAGGTGCTTGATATAGGGAAGAAGCTTCACACACCTGCTGATCACAAGACCTGCTTTTTACAGTTTTAAGGTATTTTATGCATCCCACAAAGCTACTTAGGTTGTATTTCCTGAATGCCCCCAATCCCAATTTATTGATGGAAAGAATATTAATAGTCTATATCCTATAAAGCTAACTCTAATCAACCACATTACTTCTAAAGACTGAGCTTGGCTCAAGTCTTAATTTACCCCACAACTATGTAATGAGGTACCATCCCCAAAAAATTTTTTAAAAGATATTCTAAAGAATTGTCCAGGGAATAATTGGTACATAAAAATTTTAAGCACAAAACTATCCTCTTGGGTCTATATATGCGGACATGCTACCAAAAAGGTGAAATGTCTCAAATCTTAAATCAAGACCATTTTTCTGTTTACACCTTAACAAAAACACAATGATAATGATGGTAGTAACTTATTATGCACTAACATTGTATGAGGCAATGTTTTAAGCACTAATGTGGATCATCTTATTTAATCCTCACAAAATCCTTATGAGGTGGATACTATAATGTTCATCATACAGGGATGCGAATTGAGGCAGTAAGAAGTTAAGATCACACAGCTAGTACTTACTGTATGTACTTCTTTTAGTAAGAGAAGTCCCTTTTAATTTTCAATATAAATTTTAAGAGGAAAAAAGTCCGAAATTCTGCCCTATTGTTTTCAGTACAATTCAAACAAATATTTATTGGACACAGCAGCCAGACAACTGAGGACACACGATCACCGGGACCTTGTCACTGTTTCAAGGACTCGCATAGTTTTGTGGAAAAAACAGACACATAAATAACATAGCATATTGCTTATTAACGTACAGTGTATTGTGTCACATGATGTAATCACAGAAATAGGCGCAAGCTACATGGACACAGGCTGAGCGAAAGGAGAAAAAGGCATGGCTGGAACCATGGGTAAGGGGTTAAATCCTAAATTGCCTCTGAAAACACTAAAAAGCTTGAATTTTTTTTTGGCTAATAAGGCAATGGAGTTTTAAATACAGGAGTGGTATAGATTAGACTTGATTATAGAAGAATCACACAGCAACACTATGAAACAGTTTAGAAGCAGAGTGAAGCTGTAATCAAGAAAACTAACAAAACCTTAAAAAATAAAAAGGTTAACAGCATCAAGTTCCCAGTAGTAAATACCTAGCACCATATCTTCCTTTACTAAGGGAATGAAATCAACAAAGCAACTTCAATGTTTAAAGTCCTGCTATATGCTGAACCGGTTTGGCTCAGTGGATAGAGCATCGGCCTGCAGACTCAAGGGTCCCGGGTTCGATTCCGGTCAAGGGCATGTACCTTGGTTGTGGGCACATCCCCACTGGGGGACGCGCAGGAGGCAGCTGATCGATCTCTCTCATCGATGTTTCTAACTCTCTATCCCTCTCCCTTCTTCTTTGTAAAAAAATCAATAAAATATATTGAAAAAAAAATCCTGCTATAAAACTTAATTGGTGATGGTAACCAAAGACATCATGGGTTACTTTTTATTTTAAAAACCAGAGGCCCGGTGCACAAAAATTTGTGCACTGGCGGGGGAGGGGTAGTGTGTGGGGGGTGTCCCTCAGCCCCACTTGCCCTCTCACACAGTCTGGGACCCCTTGGGATATAACCACCTGCTGGCTTAGGCCCGCTCCCCGGGTGGCAGATGGCAGGCCCGATCCCTCAGTGCCTGCCCCACCTCCCAGGGTCGCGCACGGTCACACACGGATGCCCGCCGCCCCGGGTCGCAGATAGCAGGCCCAGATGGTGGCGGGGCAGTCGGGATGGCACTGTCCCTCCCTGCCTGTAGTATGCAAATTAGCCACCATTTTTGTTGGCGGTTAATTTGCATATCGCGCTGATTAGCCAATGTGATGCGTAGCGAAGGTATGGTCAATTACCATGTTTGTCTATTATTAGATAGGATATTACCTCAGTGACAACAATTTCTGAGGGAAATGTGATTTCATTTAGGTAGGTTTCTGAAACTACTAATATTTACCTTAAAATCTGTAGCAGTTTATAAATAGAGTGAGTCTAAATGGCTCTACTGCTTCAATTACTGAAGTAAAAGTCCTGCTAGCTGGGGCTGCTCATGCACATTCGATTCTCCACACTGCCTATAGCAGTGCCTGGCCACACTGCGTAAGTTCAATAAATAGCTGCTGACCAAAGTCAGGTAGTTCCCAGGGAGCCTCTGGCAGGCTTAGACAGGTATGGAACAAAAAGACAGCAGGGAAAGAGGAAAGGAAGACTGACAAAACTAGAAAAAAGGTCAAGGGAAACTGGACTGCTGCAGGGACTCCCTACCATTTTACCACAGGTGGGCTGCAATGTGCCGGTTACTCCACAACTGAGGGAAGCAAATATTGTACATGTGCACCTTATCATAAAGCATTTTAGGTAATCTTACCTTTGACTTTAACCAAACCATTCTTTCCATATATATGTATATGATTCAGTTTATACCAAACCAGAAAAATAAAAAATACCCCCCTACATCACATGTAATCTGAAGTGAAGAATAAAAAGGAATAAAGTGTAAATATTTTCAACTATGGCAAAAACCTTTACTCTTACGTTGCTTCAAATCCTTCAGCCTTGTTCTTTAGGTACTTACAAGATTAGTTACTCGTTCCTATCTGGGTCAAGAAAAGTTTGGGGCATGGGAAAGCAGCTCAGAACATAAAGGAAGTCTTTTAAAGCAGTTGGCATTTGCTTAAAAGTCAAGAGATGCAAAATCAAAGCCATCTACATTCTTTAGATGAAGATGAATTACACTTTCACATAATTCAATATATAATTAAGGAATATTTTTGAGATTAGGCCATGTAATGCCATTTTCTGAGCTTCATGCAAACTGGAATCAAGGACAGTTAGCTGATTGAGTGAAATCTTAAATTTTCAAAGGCACTGCAGAAATCACACATTCCTTCATCATGTTCAATTAGCATAAAGTTTTAGCAAGAAAACAGATGACCTGCTCTAAAAAATGTCTATGAATTCTTAGGATCATCTCATATTCCCAAATATCCACTCAAACAACAGTTCTTAACGTGTAGTCCAGGGACACGGGTCCAAGGCCCTCTCAGAAGGTTTTGTGAAGTCAAAACTATTTTCATAGTAACACTGGAAAACTACTTTTATCTTTCTCCTTCTCTCAAAACTATATAGTGGAGGTAAGTATGAGAATCCAGCTCATCTTGATTAAAACTAACATTAAAGACTTGTGAAAACGTAAAGCAATGCTATGCTTCTCATTTATCCCCCATTTTGGGGAAGATAGTTTTTTTTCCACAAAAATATTTAATTAATGGATTTACTGTTATTTCTAATGACTTGTTTTTAGTTTTAGTTCTAATTTCTAGTGTAGTAAAATCAATAAACTCTTTGAGGATCTTTAATAGTTTCTTAAGGTGTCTAGACACCAAAAAGGTTGAGAACCTCGGTATCTAGCAAAATAATTTCCTAAATGGATGACTTTAGCTATCTTAAAATAAACTTAAGAAGGGCCAAGAAATAAGTTTCTTCTTGCCACTCTTGATATGAGAAAAGGTTCTACGAAGTTGACAGTGATGAAAATACCCAATCTTGAAAAATCAGTTATACTTTTCAAATGAATTCAATCTCAATTGAATAAACATTCATTGAATACCTAGGTTCTATATGCATAAGATATATTTAAAAGGGGAGGAGTTAAGGAAAGGCCTACCAGGGATGGGCAAACTTTTTGACTCGGGGGCCACAATGGGTTCTTAAACTGGACCGGAGGGCCGGAACAAAAGCATGGATGGAGTGTTTGTGTGAACTAATATAAATTCAAAGTAAACATCATTACATAAAAGGGTACGGTCTTTTTTTTTTTTAGTTTTATTCATTTCAAACGGGCCGGATCCGGCCCGCGGGCCGTAGTTTGCCCACAGCTGGCCTAGCCTGACCTCAAAGAACTCATAATCTTATAGGGCAAATGTGGACAGCTATTTTCCTAATAGTATATGAATGTCTGATATGACTTTTTTTTTTTTTTTTTGAAAACTGAGATTTGCGCGACTAATCACTGAAATCCTTTAAGATGATCTGGATGCGGCAACAGCTGCCCTCTTGGGTTTAGGAGTTGTTCCTTCACGGAATCCATGCCTGAACCTGCGGTACACGATTTTCAGGGGCCACATGCGACCCGTCCCGGTGGTGTTCCGTCGCTTGGCCTTGGCACTCCAGTTATACTTCCTCTTGCGCTTGGCGGGGTAGCCGCACTTGCCGCAGGTGGACTTCTGCAGGTGGTAGGCCTTGGAGCCGCAGCGTTGGCACAGCGTGTGCGTCTTGTTGCGGCGCTTGCTGAACGAAGACATCCCCTTCGTCATCTTGCTTCTGCCCTGATATGACTTTTTAAACAAAAAATAGCTGCCCATGTGGCTCAGTGGTTGAGAGTTAGGAGGTCATGGTTTGGTTCCTAGTCAAGGCACCTGCTCGGGTTGCAGGCTCAATCCCCAGGGGGGGCATGAAGGAGGCAGCCAATCAGTGATTCTCTCTCATCACTGATGTTTCTATCTCTCTCCCTTCCTCTCTGAAATCAATAAAAATTATTTTTAAAAGGATGAATGTTTAAAAATAAAAACAGCTTAAATCACATAATCCACCAATTTTCTTTTAAACTTTTTCTTTAAGAGCTGATGATCACTATTAGAATAGCAGTTTGCTATCCAGTAGATGAAGTACTAAGTATAGTGACTACACCTCTCTTCCCACCTCAGATACTGAAAATACAAGACTGCATACCTTTAACTGGAGATGTATATAGGTGTTTCCTTAACCCATCCTAGATCAAGCAGATATATAGGTGCATGATTTTTGCTAACTTTATGCCATATTCAGTGCTACTAGGTGTTGCTACTGGTGCACCGACTCTCAGTTTGAGTCAGGAAGGGAAGTCAGGAGCCTTGCCCTTTGCTACTACGTACATTACACCCAAGCAGCACAACATGAATCTCTCCTTGGTTTTTTGAACTTTCAAAAATTCAGGAGAAAATGTTTATAACTTAGCATCTTTGAGCCCAACCTGATACCACTGTAATAACCTGGTTATTAATAACTAGAAAGAAGCAAAGAGAAGGCTAGATAATGTAGGCATGCCATTTGCACAGCTTTGCCAGGAAGCTGCAGCTTAACGCTCTCCAGGTCTGAGTGACGTGGGAAGGTACTTGTCTGTCAATCACACCGGGGAATAAGCCATAGATCAGAACAGGCATGGTCACTGCAAGTGTGGGAAGATTTGATATTCATTAGACTCCTAAACAAAGGGATTTCTCCCTTTGTTTGGCTCTGTTGGCCCTCCTGCTCTCTTAGCACTCTTGTTGCAGGGGCATGCTCCCCTGCATTCTCCCACAAGGCCCACACAATGGACTAATGGGTTACAATCAGTCTGATGCACTGTTGGACTCAACTCCACCATGGAACAGAAACTTTGGACACTGGTTTTGCTTCTAGCTCTGCCGAACCCCCAGCTGCATATTTTCCAAGACTGGTTTAAGGGAAATGGGACTTTGCAAACCAAGGGATATAACAACACACAAATAAACCTTTCAATATATCTCATTTTCCCGTGAGTCTTAGGAAATTATTTTTCTCAAGATATCCTAAGAACCCCACTCCCACTAGCAACGGAGAAATTCCACCCGTGCAATTCTCTGATAACAAACCTAACGCAGGATTAAAAATATATATACAATGGCTAGGTTAATGTTTCATAGACTTACAGGGCTGGTAGGACTTTTTTGAGTATGAAAGAAGCTTTTAAAGGAATAACATCTCCACAGCTAATTACAATCCTGACTTAAAGTAGGAGAAAACTCCAACTTCAAATGATACACAAAATTGTGCCTAACTTACTAAATTGTTTAAATTGTATCCATCTTACTAGCTATCATAAATGTTAACTAGAAAAGACCTGAAAATGTATTAACTAGATGACCCAAAATCCTTCACCAATCATCATCAAAATGAAAACCATGTACATATTAGACTTTCAATTTGCTACAACTCTGAGCAACGTTTACTAAAATAAAAACATCTCAAATTTACAGTTTTATCAGCATACTCCCTTTTTTCCTAACTTTGCCAATTTTATAGCTGAGAAAAGACCAAGAAAAGTAAGTTGACAAAGTGCACACAATGCTGACAGGTTGCACAATTGGGGATTGAATCCATACTTTTTACTTGAACTCCAGTGCTATTTCCAGTAGAGCAGAACTGCCCAAACACATAGAACATTTTCACTCTCAAACAGGAAGCCAGGGAGGAGTTCATGTGCAACAAGAATTTCTAGCTCTATTCTGTGTGTTACAAAACTACAATTTAGTTCCTTTGATGCATTTATATTTTCAGGGGAAAACAAATGTACCTTCAGCATTTTTTTATTTGCTGTGTTCTTGCCACATTCTCTCCTCAGCTGTTCACTCATTGCTTGTAGCTCTCTTCCAAAGTGAATCATTCTTTCTATGGCGGCTTGACTTCCTCCACACAACTGGCGTCTTAACTGACTTGAATCAACTTCTGTAACCAAAACAAACAAGTATTTTACTACCTTACTGAATGAAGTGCAATGGAGAAATGAACATAAATTGTTTATAACATTTTATATGTTTAATTTAGTAACTATTACCTAATGTTTTTCTCTAAATATGCAGATTTATTTAATTTAATATGAAACTTTGCAGTTAAAAGGTATGTTTTATCTAGGTCTCAAGAGTCTAGGATCCAATATCTAGCATGCAGTTGAAAGTCAGGTGACAACCTTTCTCAGTGTTAGGATGTACCTATATGTCAAGGGAAATTTTATAAAAAGTTAAGCACAATTCTCTAAAACTACAATAAGCAACATTAAGAAAAAAAGAAAAAGTTGGTAACTGCCTGTCAGGCTACTTTAACTGCCATAGAATAGAGACAGAATTAAATGATTCCTGGATGCTAAGAGAGGCTAAATAATTCCAATAAAAACATTACGCTCAGAAGAATACTACTTTTAGAAAATAATTTTAGGGTATATATTTTGGTTGACAATAATGATTAATAATGTAACCATTTAAATTACTAATAATACATGTAATCACAAATGATTATGATGATATGTAATAAGCACTTTGTTCTATTAGCTTTTCACAGATTAGCTCATTTAATTGTCACAATGATCTATGAAGCAGTTATTATAATATCCATTTTACAGATGAAGAAACTGAGACACAGAGCTCTTAAGTAACTTGTCCAAGGTTACACAGCTAGTAAGTGGCAGTTGCAGAATTTGAATCCAGGTAATTTGGCTGTATAACTCTTGTTCTTAATCACTATGCTCAAATTACTCTTTGAATTTTTAAGTTGCTGATTATCTGATAAAATAAAACTAGGCTGCCTTTTTAATCATACTCCTTGCTTGAAAAAAGGATTTCTACAGTAGAATACATAATCCCCAACAACAAGGTAGTTGTATAAATAATAAAATAATAACTACATTTATAAAGTAGTTTCTTATATATACCCATAACAATTTGAAAAAATACCTTTTAACCTCAAAATACTAAGAAGTCTAATGTTGGCCATGGAATTCTGACAAAGAATTTATAAGCTTTAATAATGTTCACTTTCCAACTGATGGGAAAGTTTGCTGATGGTTTAACTTTACAATGCAGTTTACTACACAAGTTGTCAAGAAAGTAAAATTAAGCATGACGTTTAATTTAGGGGAAAGAGGAGGTGGAGTCACACTTAAGTACCTACTAAGTGCCAGGCACTGAACTATGAATAGTCACATATATTCACATTAAATGAATTTAAGAAATTCTGTTTGATTAGAATTTATAAAAGCATCTCTACCCATTTGGCCTTTATTGGCTACAGCAAAATGAGTATAAAACCTTTCTATATCTCCAACCTTAAATATCCTCTAAAGCAGCGGTCACCAATCTTTCAGACCTCATGGACCGCCAGTGGTCCATGGACCACTGGTTGGCGACCGCTGCTCTAAAGGATATTTAACACTAAGTTGGTACCACTGCACTAATGACAGTGCTAACAGCGAAGAAAACTCTGTAGCATTTAACCTCAGAAAGTAGTATAAAGTAACTCTGCTCTGTCTAGCAACCCACTCTCACAAGAAAGTTTAAGAGAAGTAATGTGTATTATCAAATCCAATGGCACATACAACTATCTTTAAATTTGATTTATGCTCATCAGCTGTAAATCAGTACGAGTAAAAACATAACCTTGTAGTCATCATTTTTTATTAAAAATGTAAGAAATATCACTGCAGACCCATTTCGGTGTCACAATCTTCCATTTCGTGGTCATGTTTAGAGCTACCATTTAGGAAACCATTGGATGAAGTTTCTCCAACTCCATTGGAGTAGTGATCTGTTTCCATGTCTACATCATTACTGAAAATGAAAAAACAAACCTAATTTTAGAAATCGCATACTTGCAGCTTAGTTTAAAATAAATTACTACTCAACTACATAGCCTACTTATAAAAATGATTTCATAAGACAAAAGCAATCTTCAAAGTAGGTATTTAGTTAAGTCTTGAATATATTCAAAGCCAAATATGTAGCTGACTTTTAACAAAGTTGTACTCTTGGAGATAAGGGAAATAAAGTACACATACAAAAGTATTGCCAAATCTTAATTTAAAAATGTTGATTTGGATATTTAGGGTGTTTTCAATTTTCACTCATTTTACATTTACAGAATAACTATGTGCCAATAACTACATTTGGACATAATAATGTAGGACCTTCAGATTCATCCACACAGGAAGCAACAAAAAATACCTAATCTTTAAGAATCGCCTATGATGATCTAGATAACGATTACACAGCCCAAAAGGAAACACTTGATGAAAATTTAGGAAATATTTAAATAAAAATGAACTTTTCTATTAAAAAAGCAAGGGATATTCATTTCTTAGAAAAACCAAGAACATTGAATGCAGATGAACAAAAAGCACTCTACGCATAATGCCACCAGAGATGGTTAACACCTTGCATGACTCGTGTGTGTGGTTTAAGTACCGTGTGTGTGTGGGTGGGTATGTGCACACTTCTATCAGTAAAATCTATTTGGTGAAAAGACAGAGATCTATAAAGAAGGTGGCAATTGCCTTAGAACTCCATGAGTCAGAAAAGCTTTGTATTATATTGGTGACCTTTGAGAGTTGTTAAAAAAAATTAACATTAAAAACAATGTTTAGTAGAAATCCTTAAGAACATAGCTTTTGGTGATCTTAATGATATACTAAACCACTTTTTAAGAAAACAATTCAATATACTATTTGAGAGGGATTCTTTCATTCAATACACATTCAAGAGCTCCTGAGCCAAGTTCTTCATGT